TAACATCTTTGGCTGCAGTGCACTTCCAAATACATAATCAGTGGCAGGAAAAATTCCCAGTTTTTCTTTTTGAACAGACTATAAATGGCTAATTTCAGAAGAAAAGAAAGTTAAATGCCTCTTGTACTATGACTTTCTGTGCTTTGAGTCTTTCTTAAATTATAGCAGAAGAAAGGTGTGGTTTATTTATTTTTACTGCTTATCAATTTGCATACACAGGAGTAATTATAAGAAATTGTTTAAGGGTATTTCCAGTTTTGTGTGGGAAACACCTTTACATCTTTTACAAAATGTAAAATTTGTCAAYATCTTAGCAAATGGAGGAAAAAAGAAAATGATATAAAGAAGACATAACTGGAAAGAGCTAATTTTAAATGCTACATATCAAAAAAGAAGGACAAATATGTTATAATTACTAACTATTCTATGATGATATTGATGTACTGACAAATATTTTCATATATTTGTTCAGTCACCCCTTGCCGACCCATAGGGTATTAAAAAATACTTACCTTTGAGCTAGGGTTGTGGCTCAGCCGTAGAGCGTTTGCCTCACACATGCTAGACCCTGGGTTCGATCCTCAGCACCACATAAAAATAAATAAGTGAAATAAAGATATTGTATCCAACTACAAGTAAAAAATAAGTATTTAAAAAAATTACTTACCTTTAAGAAAATATCTTTCCTTTTATACACATGTTCTAGATTTGGATTTGTCACCACTACTATTTAAAATGTTTTTGTTTTATCATTTGTTCTAACCCTCTTTTTTATTTTTCATAATTATTAAATGTGCCAAATTTTCATTTTCAAGGGATAATTGACAAGCCATATTCACCTGCCTTCCTTGGGCACTTCTGACCTTAACCATATCTTCCTGTTTGAACATAAAGTCAAGCTGGAGGCAGGTTACTTTATATAATGTGTAAACCTTAAAAAACAATCTCTCCTCCATTCCTTGGACAAGGTAACCGTGCTCTCTCCTAAGAGGCTTCCTTGACCTCCTTCCTTTCCTTTTGTTCCCTAACATATAATATAAGCATAAGCCCTCACATGCAGTATCAACTAAAGACTTCCAACCAGTTGATCAGATAGTCTGGCGGATCTTCAGAGACCTCTAAATGGCCAGGGGCTTCTTAGCAAGCATTTTCTTATGAGCTTCAAGAATAGAACTATTTCTGACAAACATGCCCAGCCCTTGTTTTAATTTAATTTTGAGACATAGTCTTGCTAAATTGCCTAGGCCAGCCTCAAATTTATAGTCCTCCTGTCTTGGCCTCCAGAGTAGCTGGAATAGTAGGCATATACCTCTGTGTCCAATTAAAGTTATTATGTTGTTATTATTATTATTATGAAGAGAATAGGCTTCATATTAAACCAGCAAATTTCTCCATGACTGGTATCACACCATGTTCTTTCCTTTCCTCTTGTAATCTTTGTAGAGACAGACTATTAAAAGACATCAGAACTCCTTGACCTCACAGCTTGTGGCATACTTTGAAGTATATATGAAAGTACTTTGTCAAGGAAGGATGGGAATGTTCTTGCTTACGAAACTCTTATGAGCCTATTGAAGATGAATTGTTTTAATCTTTGCAATGAAAGCTGAATAAATTTAGTTTATGATAAAGACTGTGTTGAGGTGTTAAGATGTACTTGGTTATAAATTAATATAATGTAGACTCACGGTTTACAATGAAAATGTAACATGAATAGTGCCTGTCTTTTCTTCTTCTAGTTTATTAACAACATTTAAAAATGAAAACATTTAATCACATTGTAGAATTTTGAATGGAAAGGAAATTATTTTCTAGAAGATACTGTACCTAAAGCTTTACAAAAATAGCTTTTGTCATTTACAAATTAGTGTATTTTAAAAGGCATTAAATTAACAACAAAAAAGAGAAAATATCTAGGAATTAACTTAGAAATGTACAAGATGGATGTGAAGATAACTTTAAAACTCTGTAGAAGGTCACAGAATATTTGAACAAAGACATGGAAAGACATACCAAGTTCTTGGATAAGAAGACTTAAAAATAACATCAAAACGTGGCAAACAAGAGAGAAGGATAGAGGAGAAATCTTCCTGGAATTTAAGAAACTGAACTAAAAAAAAATTACCAATGAATAGAAAAATTGGCAAAATGCTAGATAGTTCACATGAAAGGAGATATTAAATGGTTCTTAAAGCATAAAAGAGAAAAGAAGCTTAGCCTTACTCAGGTCACCTTAAGATACCATTTTCATGAAGAAGACTGGCAAAAAATCCAGAAAATATGTAGAACATTATGTTGGTGAAAATTCAGAATCTAACAGACAAGAGTATTTATGGAACAGTACAATCCTGAATGATGGCAATTTCAGTTTTATGGCATTTCAGTAATTTCATCAAGTTAATATTTACTATTATTTCTGGCAGAAGATATTTTTATTCCTTTCTCTTTTATATTGTCTGTTTTTCATCTAAGAACTAGTTTTAGAAATTATTGACTAGCATGTCTTTGCAAATATCAATTATYAAGTCTTACTCAAACACCATATGTATAATGTACAGATTCTTCCTCTGATGACGTTTCTAATTAAATGGGATAAAAACTGGTTTGATAAGATTGTAGGGGGAAAGATTTATACACTGAAGTAAAGCTAAGTTTTCTGTTGATTTTGCTGACCTAAACTTTTCCCCCTATTATGACTCACCAAACTTGATAAACAGTTTGCATATTTTTAAGTAAAGGAATAAGAATTTACTCTTTAGTCATTCTTTAATAATGTTTGCTTGTGGGATAAGTGCACATCTCTGTGTGTGACTGTGTGTGTAACATTACTAAATGTGTCATAAAATGCCTATCCCTTCTCTCTTGTTTGCCTCTTTCCTACCTATTCTTGCAAGGCCCTCCATCAACAGGGTTTTAGTAATGTCTTCAGGGTAGACTCTGCTTTCCATCTCATCTCCAGTCCATAGTTATGGCCAGGCGTGTGAAGTGAATGCAGCAATTTAAACACATAACTGTTATACTAACACTTTAAATAGAAATATTTTTAACATCTAATTATTTGTAGCATTTTGTGGAATGCATTGTAGAGAGTTAGAGTTGATATGTCCATTGGACTTGGCTATGTTCCAAGGGACGCTGAGAACCCTGTGTTCTGCTGAGACAAATCACCATTAGATGGGGATCTTGGTCATTTGATACCAGTGAAGATAACTGCCCATAAATTTTTTTTTTTTTTTTTTTTTACATCTCCCTTTGAGCGGGTGATACTATTCCTACCTTAATATGATGTTACCTATGGTGTTACCAAGAGGCTGGGTAATTCTTTCTAAGGCCACATGATTAGCACATAGCAGTACTGCCATTTGAACTTTTTTCACTTAGTTGTAGTACATTCCCTGTGATATTAAGATGCTTGTATTTGGAATACTTAGTGTAGTGTGTGACACACAGTGACAATAAATGGTGGTTACTATTTCTTATTATATCAAAACTTCCTCCCCTGAGGTTTGAGAATCTGCTCCATGCATAGTGTAGATTAAAACAATCTATAATAAACTTACTTTTAGAATTGAGTTCTCTTCTGGGCTGGGGTTATGGCTCAGTGGTAGAGTGCTTGCCAAGCATGTGTGAGGCACTGGTTCAAACCTCAGCACCACATAAAAATAAATAAACAAAATAAAGGCATTGTGTCCATGCGCAATAACAACAACAAAAAAATTGAATTCTCTTTCATGGCTGACTTTGTCAGTCTTTTTGTTTAATTGGTGCATAATAATTTTATAGAATAGTGAGTTTCACTGTGGCATATTCATTCTTGCACATAATTTGATCAATTTTATTCCTCAGTACCTCCCTTGCTCTCTCTCCTCCTCCCTCTCCCTTACTCCCTTCCTGTACCCTAATGTTTTCCCTGCTCTTCTCATGAAAATACCCCCTACACCCCACCCCAAGTTATTTCAGTGCTTTGGACAACTGAGTAGCTCTTCTCTCTGAGTCAGTACTGGCCACATCCCTAGGATTTTAAGCTCTTCAAAACACCTCTCTTTTCTTCATGGGGTAGTACTGCGTAACTTTCTTGCTTCATGGCTGTTGACTTTGCTGCTGACAGTGTTGTTGCTTGGTGGCTTCCTTTCTCTTGCTGCTTGATATACTTCTGCTGTTCCTTTGCTTGCCACTGTAGGGGCTGTGATAGTTAAGTATGCTTTGAACTCCCAGRCCAGTGAGTAACTGTAAGCTCCTAAAAGGTAGTTAGCTTTTGTTCAAGGTATGTTCAATTTATTTATAGAAGAATCTATAGTTTCTTCTGCATACAGTGATTAGAAAAGAGATAGGATGAACCCTTGATTTGAGTTCTTTACCTCTGTAATTGGTTTACAATAAATATCCAATGTTTAAGGAGAATTTGGCAAGTTTCCACACATGTATCCATCGGTGGAAACCATCACTACTCCTAAGGTACCTACTGTGCCTATGAAAATTGAGGCTTGAAGAAACCCCAAAAGCTCAAAATGGAACCAAGGTCTATTGAATCTCAAGATTCATACTAGATAGAATCTCTAAAGCCCAAGTTCTTGCGGGGGTGGGGGTGGTAAAAATCACTATTTCTCATTGGTGTGGGGAAAAAACACAATCTCTGAATCTAGCTACTGCTTGCTTCAATAAGAGAGTTATGCTAAATGAGCCTAAAGTGTTTTTCAACTATAAGTATCTTCTGTTTGTTATAAATAAATTAATAAAGTTAAATTTTTAGAAAACTGATATTTAGTTAAAAATGATGTCTCTACTTTCCCTCCCAAGAGCCAACTAATATGTATTGAAGAGGTTAAAAAAAGTAAAAATTCATAATGTTAGCGAGCAAGTTCCTTTTCTTCATTCATGTCTTATGCAAAGGTAATAAACCTCTGTTCAAATTCAGTTTGTTTTAATTAAATGAAATTGTACTATTCTCTGTAATTTTCACAGTGGAGCTATATGAGACTATAATTTTTTTCTTTTCACAGGGAAGTGTTTAAGAAGATCATGGAGTAATATGAGTCAGAGTAATAAAAGATCTGCAGGAAATCCCTCAAGAGAGTTGGTGAGATGATAAGAATTTCTGTTTTCTTCAAGTGTGTTGTATAATTATTTTTCTAACTATGAACATCATAGTCTTGTGCTCACAAGAGACATTTTCCTCAATCTTTTATTATTGTGTGATTTTTTTAAGCATATCAGTGGTGGAAATTATAATAGTTACTACCTAAAGCTTTGCTGCATTCTTCACTTTTGCCAGAGAATTCAGATTTTATATAGATATAGTTATTCATAATGATGTTGATATAGGTCAGTCTATCTAGAGAGCTATCATCACCTTTAAGATGGTATCATCAATGACTAAAATGCTATAGCTCAAAGTACATAAAATATATAAAACATCTGTATATGAGCATATATTGTTTATGTAAATAATATACAAAGTTGGAGTCAAATTTGACTATTTTAATATCTATTCATTTTCTACTGTTTCAGTTTTAGGAAAAGAAGAATTTGTAGACCCTTCACCAAATTCTTCATTTATACAGCTATTAAATCCAAGGCACCTGTGGTGAAAGCATGAATAAAAACACATCTGCTACAGCATCATCTGGTCTACTTGAAAAGTAATTTAAATCAAATTCAATGTGTTTTAAAATATTGAAGTTTGAAATATATAGACTATTAATGAACATTTCTTAAAAGTTTTTATACCTACCTCTCTCATGTGGTCTAGGACAGAGTAAAGTAATACATTGAATTACCAGTATTTCAGTGTGTGTTAGTCAGCTTCCCAAATCTGTGACAAAAATACTTGAGTTAATCAACTTATAAGGAGGAAAGATTTTTTTGGTTCATGGTTTCACAAGTTTCAGTTCATGATCACTTGGTGCTGGCACTTTGAGCCTGTAGCAGCATGGTACATGATGCAGGAGCACATGGAGGAGGAGTTCTTTCTACCTCATGGTGGCCAGGAGACAGAGAGACAGGAAAACACGCAGATCCTAATAGCTCCTTCAAGGCCACGCCCCGGTGACCTAACTGCCTCCAACAAGACCTCATCTCCTAAGAGCCCACTACCTCCCAGTAGCACTACAGGCTGGCAACCACGCCTCTGAACACATGGGTCTTTGGGGGACACTTCTAAACCATAACACAGTGTACATCGATGTATGGGACAAATTCTGCATTCTCTTTAAAATGGCCTGTAGAAATTAGACTTTTTAAATTTTTCATTTGATTTTTTTTTAAATATCTAAAAGATTTTATAATTCAGTGTAAAAATTACATAGTATAAGATTAGCTTTGGCTAACTAACCATTCCAAAGCACCTTAAAACAATAAGAATTCATTTGTTCTTACAATTCTGTAGATTTGCTGAGAAAGTCTGGTCTATACCAGATATGTAGAATGGCCTCCTTCTCATGGAGTGCAGAATGGCTCCTTCAAGGAGAACAGATATAGACCTTACTTTTAATATAAAGGAGCAGTAAAGTCACAATGTCAAGAGGCATGCAACCAGGGATAGAAAAAATTAGTGGCCATTTTGCTAACATATAAATATATTGACAATGTTTAATTGGAAAAGTCTGGCTCTTATTCTTMTCCTTCCCTCTATGTCCTTAATCATCCTATAGATAACTTTTTATTCTTTTTTTCAGTGTTATTTTTGTATAARTAAATGAATGCACATATAAATACACAAATATTATATATATAATATATAGACATAATTGTATATATTTGGATTCTACTCTCCAAAATATTCTAAACTAAAAGTATGTTATATATATATACTCTTTTGATCTTGCCCTTTTGTCTTAAAATTATTTCCTGATGATCACTGCAAATCAGTTTATAAAGATCATTCTTGTTCCTTGTCAAAATTGCATAATAGTCTCTTCCTGTGTATGTACTGTAATTTGTTCAGCCACTAACTTCTTGATGGATAATTGGATTGTTTGCAATTTTTGGTAAGCACAAGTTATGCTAAAATGAAGAATCATTGGACTTTTTCCAAGAATCTCTTTGAGAATGGAATTGCTAGATTAGAGGGGTTACTAAATTTGAGTTTTTGAGGTTGTACCAATGTATAAAAGTGCCTCTTTACCATGTTCAGTAACGCATACCTGTAATCCTAGTGGCTTGGGAGGCTGAGGCAGGAGGAGGATCACAAATTCAAGGCCAGTCTCAGCAATTTAGTGAGGACCTAAGCAACTTAGAGCCTGTCTGAAAGTAAAATATAAAAAAGGGCTGGGGATGTAGCTCAGTGATTAAGTGCCTCAGGGTTCAATCCTCAATACCAAAATGAATGAATGAATGAATGAATGAATGAATAAATGTACCTCTTTTCCTATAGCTTTGTGATCAGAGGATGTTGTTCAGATTTTAAGTATTTGTCGATCTGATAAGTAAAGAATAGTACCTTTTCTTAGTTTTAACTTGTAATTCTCTTATTACTGCTAACGGTTGATTAGCTGAACAGCTTTTAAAATTAAAAAAATAAGTAATCTAAATTCTTAAAAGGGTAATTTTAAGATCCTAGTCATGTGATAAAGTTTTATGCTATCATTGAAGTTTATGTTTAGAAAATCTTTTAACARCATGGAGATTGAATATAATAATTCTGGGGGGAAAAACAGGACCTATAACTGTTTATATAGAGCAATGTTAATTCAGAAAGAAAAAATATAGATAGATTTGTAGAAAGAAGATTAGAAGTAAACATACTGCTTTGTTAATAGTGCATAATCTGTTAGGATGAGAAAAAGAAGGTTTTTTTTTTTACTGAAATAATAATATATGCTGGATGCTGTATATAACCTTATTGAAGGAAATTCACATTTAGGTTTGCTAATGAGGTACCTTAGTTCCCTTTCTCTCTCTCCCATTTCTAGGCTTCATTTACGCTTTTGCAACCTAATATCCCATGAAGAATGGGCTGGAATTCATGTTAGTGGAATATTTTAGACTCAGTCCTCTCTGCCTTCTGTCTTTTTTCCTAGCTAATTGCCTATTACCCTAGTAACTAGATAGGCTTTCTAACACAAGCACTGAATTCAGCATAATGCAATCCTAAAGGATGTACAGATAGGGAACAAAATATTCAATAACAGGAGATTTTGTAAGTTTTTAAAATTTCTTTTCTATTTTTCATTATTATGTAACTTTTGAATATAGCGGTTTTCTTAAAGGCACACTTAGAATTTCTGTGGCAGAAGCTAAGAAAGCTTTTTCTAAGAACTATAATCATATGTAAGATATGAAGTAACATCTTCTTCCCTATCCCTTTTTGGGCTAGGAATTGAACTTAGGGCATCACACATGATAAGCACATGCTCTACTGAGCTACACCCCATCCCCTAAAGTAACACTTTTTTTTTTTCCCAAGGTTGACCTTATTTGATATGTCTGAAGATAGCTGGAAGTCCCGTATTCAACAAAGACTTATACAACTCATAGCACCCTTGTCTCTGAGCTTATATTACAGCTCTCTTTGTGACCTGGGTCACCAACTTACCTATCTGAATTTTGGGTATTTTAGAAAAGTGAGAGTAAGAATCTTACAGTTTGTGTTAATATTAAATTGGATGGCACTATTACATATGCATAAGCATATTACCCAGAACATAATATGCAGCAGCCCTAAGCTTTATTTCAGACTTTGTTCAAGTTATTCAAACAGTAAAATACTCTGCTGACTGGAGTGTTCGGGAACACCTCTTGGTGATATACCTTTTGCAGAATTCTCTGACAGTTCCTTCTTTTATAATGGCAGGAATAAGTASTTCATAACAGGAAAATACTCTTCCTAAATTAAAAAAATAAAATATTTTTTGAGATTCAAATGAAAATGATAATTATTTTGCTTTAAATGTCCATAAATGTGTCTTTTAAAATTACTGAGTTCATTAAAATATTTAGTTTTGAATTCCTTCAGTGTAGTCCAATAATCAACTGAAAACAAATCTCTTCAGTCACTCTTAATAAATCCCTAAATGTACTTAAATAATATGTTTAAGGTATTTTCTTTGTTTTCCCCCAATAAATAAGTATTATACCATAAATTCTTTTATGCTTTTGGTTGTTTTGGAAGAAAGAATTAAAAATAATGTAAGAAAATTTGATTGTTTTTCTGTCACCATACTTTTTAAAAGTAGGCTTTAAGTATATTGGTTGTCTAGATCTAAGAATTGGATTTAAGAAGTAATTGAAAGAAGATATAGGTATAGATCTCTAGCCTAACCTGTGAGTACTAATTTACTTTATCTTAGGGATCCTGCCTTTCAGATGATAACAGTTGCCAAGGAAACAGGACTTGGTCTAAAGATCCTAGGAGGAATTAACCGGAATGAAGGTCCATTGGTCTATGTTCAAGAAATCATTCCTGGAGGAGACTGTTATAAGGTAAAAATGAAAATAAAAATACTCCCCATTAACTGGGCGTGGTGGCTTATAGCTCTCATTCCAGCAACTCAGGAGGCTAAGGCTGGAGGATCACAAGTTTGAAGTCAGCCTCAGCAATTTAGTGAGACCCTGCCTCAAACTAAATAGTAAAAAGGGCTGGGGATGTGACTCAGTAGGTAAGCACCCCTGAATTCAATCCTTGGTACCAAAAAAAAAAAAAAAAAACATTGAAAAACAAATAACAAATACACTCATGCCAGTAGTAAGGTTTGTTTTCCTCTTTTATCAGCAAAATTTTAGTGTAAATTGAATGTCTTCATTGAAAGATAAAAAGGAACCAAGAAAAGACCTTAAACTCAGGAGCTTTACCCTAACAAATGAATAGGTTCTTTACATATAAAAATAATAGACATACTCGACTAACTAAAGGTTACATATTTTTTTAGTTATGTAARGTTCAACTTTTAATTAGAGTTAAGAGAAATTTTATTTGAAATCCTGTTATCTGGATGCCATTCTAAGTTTGGGTTAGGTTAGATCTGTTCAATTTGAATTACATTCACTATCCTCCCCTAAATGCAAAGTCAAACAAAACAAATAAGCAAAAACAGCAAACAAATCTATTCCTTTCTGAATTTGCAGTAATTCTTATTGAATCTGTTAATTATGTAACTCATTAGTTGCCCCCAGGAGAAATTGGGTTTAGAATTAAGACAAAAAATATGGGCTTTTAAAATGAATCAGAAAGTTTTTCTCTCAACATCTTACTTTCCCTTGATGGAGGAAAGTCTTACTTTTCTTCAATGTAGTAAATATGTGATACCATGAGTTCCTTTTTGCTCTGGGTGCTAGGAAGTGCAGACCCAAATTTGAAGCAAAAGACCAGCAACTTCTTTAATTATATTTTAATTGTCATTTATTTTGAATTTCATTTTCTATTTCTGTTTTATTAATATGGTTATATATATATATGTGTGTGTGTGTGTGTGTGTGTGTGTGTGTGTGTATGTGTGTGTTTAACTTGTTAAGAATGCCTCCAGTTCTTTTTGGAGAGATATAGGATATAAAGAATTTAATAAAATATTTTGATAATACCAAGCTCAATAGCCTGAGAAAGGATTGTCTGTTATTAATTTTGTTCTTATTCTTTTTCATCCTATTATTATCCTTTTTGTTTTGGTTAAATATATAGTCCTACCTTATCCCCTCTCCCACTAGAAACACATAGCAAGCAGTTTATTTTCTCAACTAGATTTTTTTTTGTTATTAAAAAAAACTCAATTTCAAAATAGGTACGTTTTAGTCAGCCTGTTTGCTGCTATGACCAAAAGACCTGATGAGCAATTTTAGAGGAGGACAAATTTATTTGGGCCTCACAGTTTCAGAAATCTCAGTCCAGAGATGGCCAACTCCATTGCACCAGGCCTGAGGTGAGGCAGGACATTACTGTGGGAGAGTGTGGTGAAAGAAAGTGGCTTAGGACATGGCTACCAGGAAGAGGAGAGAGAGAGCATTTTGCTCTCCAGGGATAAAATATATACTCTAAAAGCATACCCACCAGTGACCCACCTCCTCCAGTCACATCCTACCTGCTTTTAGTTACCACCTAGTTACTCCCTATCAGGGGATTAATGCACTGATAAAGGTAAAACTCTCATAATCTAATTATTTCACCTCTAAAATTTCTTGCATTGTTTCAAACAGGAGCTTTTGGGGGACAAAAAAAAAGTTATGATTTCAGTTGTTTGTGCATATTTGGATAATAAGACATTTTTTAAACCTACTTTTTAATATAATAAGTTCAAGATGGTATAATGATAAAAATTTTTACTATTCAATTTAAATTACTAACCAAATAAGAAGATAATTAGATGTTAAATGTAATTAAAACAAAAAAATGATTACTGTTTTCCTAAAAAATGGAGATATTTAGTACAACTGTAGTTTTAAAGCTGAGGGGTGGAATGGTGAGTGGAAGGTGTTGGTATTTCTTGGACTATACGTGATATAATGCAGTAATGGATCAAACTGCCTAATAAGTGATAGGAATTTACTTTTAAGACAAGTATCAATTTGTTCTTTTTTATGTACTTGAAAAGCATATGAATTAGAGTAATAAACTGATAGTGTTGGTGCAGAATGACTCTTTGTATGTTCTCAGTGATTATAGATTAAGAAATTATGCCCATGCTACGTACTTTTTTCTTGTTTGTTATTCTAGAATTATCATTTGAGAGTATCAAAACAAAACTTTGAATGGACTATATTCTTTGTTTACCACTAGAGGGCAGCATAGAGTTATTAATGTTCTGGCCACGTCCAAAAGATGGAAACATCCAAAATAGAGAAAGGTGTAGCAGAATAAGTAGTTTTCCAGAGCTCATATCCATTTTTTAATATTTCCTCAAGATGGAGTACTGTATGCATATTTTGTCTGTAAACACAAAATTGATACAACTTTACTTTAAAATATTTATTAATAATAATTTACTCACTGTGTTCCAAATACTGTTTTAAGCATATTAATAAATTTCTAATCTGCACAGATTTTTCTGAATAGTAGGTATGTTCATAGAATATAAAACAAAAGCTCATAAGATTATCCTTATCAAGGTAGTATTAATATTTTTTTAAAATGCATGTAAGTGCTGTAACTTATTATAATTTTGTTTTAATCTTATAATGATTCAGAATCAATAATAAAGGCAATCTCACACTTATAGCTAGATTACGTTTCATTTATATCCCCAAACTCTTCAAGCTGTATGGGAATTATAAGAATTTTCTTTAGTTAATTTCGGTTAGCCAGAACCACCCCTAAAATGTTTTTCTCCTGGCAGACATGAAAATATAAAACTGGCTCATTACAACCAAAATATCATGTTTCTTGAAAAACATTCAGAGTTTATACTTGAGATATCATGAGTACAGTTTTCCAGTTAAGTAGGAAAGAAGATTCTCGTAGCTGTAAGAGTAGGAGGTAGCCTATAGCTTGAGAACAACTATACCAGGTACTGAATTAAGGAAATAAGGGAATCCCAAGGTCCTTTTCACCCAATCATCTCACCCCATCCCATATTATTCTGAAGTGCACAGCATTTAATCTTAGACCCTTTGTTGGCTTGGACACCCCTTTGAGCTTTAGACACACCTACCAATTTCATGATAAAAATTTCCACCTAGATCTCTTATAGCATCTCAGACTCAGTATTTCTCAGGCAGAATTTATTATATTCACCTCACACTCTCATCTTATCTTCTCATCTTCCCAAACAGAAAATTCTTCCAGTGATGAGTGACACCTTCCAGCGGCACCAAGTCAGCTAACCAACAAACTTCCTAGCTACTTCCTCTCCCAGAACAACCATATCCGATTCATTAGAACATATTGTTGACTTTTCTACTCTCTAAATATCTCATGAGCCCATCTCTTTTTGATCTCCACTCTCATCACCACAGCTTAARCAAACATAAGTTTTTAGCATCCCTCTAAAGCTTTGCCTGCTCTTCTGCACTATGCCTATTTCCCTCCCATCCTGCCTATTGCCTGCAAGACTCTAGATAGTGCGTTGTCTACTCTAGTCCTCCATCACTGTGCTTCCCCACTGACATTCCCTCTAATCCTGAAAGATTAGTTTCTTGCTTATCTCATATGCTGTTCCTCTAGACTGGGAATAGCACACTCGTCTCATTCCATTAATTCCACATATCAGTTCCAAAGGCCCCTGCCTAAATGTGTTCTTTGTTCTCTTCCAGTGTGACTGCTTTTGTTTTTCCTATAGGTGCTCCTAGATCTTGTTCTTTCCTTCATATCACCTACCTCTGTTGTAATGATGCCTGGATATATGTAATTATTTTATAAACTCTGGCTGAACCATAAGACAGTATGTTTCCTAAGGACAAGGATTCCGATTTTATTCACAGTAATATTGTTGGTATGATGCATGACACATTTCAATTGCTGAATTAATATTAATGAATGAATGGTCCCTTGGTTATTCTGTCATACTTTCTGAGAATTATTCACCTGTCTATTTAGCATTCTATTGCTACCATCTGGATTTCACATCAAGAGACCTGTCCTCTCCATGGCCTTTTGTGTCAAATTCTGTATAACACTTTGAAGTTTGCAAATATTTTTCTTTCTTTTGTTGCAATAATGTAGAGGAAGCAGCAGAAATCAAAAGCTTTGTTTCAAACTTGATACTGTACTTTATATTTCACTTAGTAAATTATAATACCCATATTGCAACATAGTCATATAAAGTACATATATGCATATGTATAGCTAAAAGAGCATGTAGTGTGTGTGTGTGTGTGTGCGCGCGCRCGCGTGCGCACACATGTGTGTTTCCTCTTCTCTGAAATTGGGATGGGTCTCACAATCAATGTCATTGTAATTGGAATCTTTTTTCTCTAGTCATACATAAAGTAATAATGTATCTTAAAATTAGCAGCATCTTACATTTGATAAATTCAGGATTTTGTTGTCAAGCCCTATAGCTAAAGACAAAGGTCACACAGATAAGTGTGGTGTTTATAAAGTTAAGTAGAGGGACACTTAATTTTCAAATGAAGTATTCTTTCAATAGGCTGAACAGATCACTGGAACTGGGACCAAAGATTTTAGATAAATAATAGGGCCAGGCCTCTGGGTGGCAGAGTATGAAGGAAGCAATGCCACTTGTGAGAGCAGAATGCATAACAGCAAATAGTATTCTCTTTGCAACATCACTCTCTTCTTTGCCATTATTATTTCTGTCACAGACACCTTAATTTCTATAAGCTGTTCCCTGGATCTCATTAATTTATTATTGACTTATTGTATACTTATCAATGTGGTGGGGAAACAACTGTGAGAAGGACAGGCTATGGCCAACTGAGAGAATCCATGGTACCAGCTTGGGAATTACTGAATTAACATGCTCAAATGCAGGGGCAGTGAAAGTAAATGTGAAYAAAAAGGATGCTACAAATAAGTTAAATAAAAGTGCTGTTTAAGCAAAGTGGAAGAAACAATTAAGTAAATCTGGAGAATTAGAGAAAACTCCCAGTAAAGGTAGTGTTTGAATTTTGCTGTGAAATTTTAAGTGAGAATTCATCAGGAGAAGTGCAAGGGTATGTGGTGGCCTTCTGTATAGGAACCTGTATTTGTAAACCAATTGAAATCTGAAAGACCATCAGTAGTTCAAGGGACACTCTCTGAAAACAGAATGAGGAGTTGATAGATGGGATGGAAGTTGTATGAAGAGGATGGAAAAGTAGGTTGCAGGCAGCTTGCACTGGGTTTAGGAAGTTAAAAAGTTTCAACTTTTTTTCTACCAATAGGCAATCAACCAAGGTTCTCAATTTGAGAAGTAACATAATCAAATTTGCTGTCGTGTAAAGATTATTTGTAACAGAAAGTTGGATTCACCTCACCTTACTTACACTGTTTTATAGTTTATATATGTTATGTGATTCTTAAAGAAAACTCATGTTATAGATATTTATCCCCACATTACAACTGAGAAAAGAGATGGAGTCTCATAGAGGTTAAGCAATTTTCCTGTTTATGTTAATAACACACCATGCAATCATTTCCAAGGGGACAATGAGCTTTCTTCCAATRGCTTTCTTCTGCTCTCAAAACTAATTGGGAACCGGGCACAGTGGTGCTTGCCCATAATCCCAGCAGTTCGGGAGGGTGAGGTAGGAAGATCTCAAGTTTAAAGCTAGCCTCAGCAAAAATGAGGTGCTAAGCAACTCAGTGAGATCCTGTCTCTAAATAAAATACAAATTAGGGCTGGGGATGTGGCTCAGTGATTGAGTGTCTCTGAAATCAACCCAGGTATCCCCTACAAAAAAAAGGTGGGAGGCTATGTTCAGTCTGTAGATCTTGAAAGTATGGGGAATAAAGAGTTAGTTAAATCAGAATCATAATATCAAATGGTTTCTAATAATATGGTAAAATATTATTGAGAAAATTACATAGTAAGGTTATAATTGGAAATAAAGAATGCTAGTAGTTTTTAACAGTACTACTTAAATGCTCAGGAATACATTATTTCAAGGTCTGCACAAATGTCAATGTGAGAGAGTTCAGACTTTGAAGTTGAGCATGTGAAAGTGCTTAGCACATTGCCTGTCACATCCTGTAGTTGCTTGGGAACTGCTGAGTCAGAATCTAGACTATGGAAAAAGGCCTCAGCACACAGCCCTGAAGTTAGTATCTTCACATATACATTAATCCAGCTGGGGCAGAATTCACTCCTTTAGAATGCTAGACTTTTACAGAAATAGCTTTGTTTTCATTTGCAGGTTCTAACTTTTAAACAGGTTCAGAAATTCATGTCATCGGCTAAGATCTTATTCCAGGAAGCAAAGAAAAGTAACTCACAGCTGTAAATACTTTTTAGAAAGTGTGTGTGTGTGTGTGTGTGAAGCATTCTTCTTCTCTCTTGGGATTACTACTCTGTTGGAAAATGCTACTTCCTTCATTAGGGTACTTGAACTCAATGTGGGGTATAAATGGTCTTCATGAAACTTTCCCTCTGTACTGCYCACATGGCATAGCCTGAGAGGAGAATGTGGGAGGTTGTAGGTGACCTCAGCTCTTTTGCCCACCTGTGTTTTCTTAGCCTTCTTCTCTATAATCCTGACAAACTGTGATTTCTATTAGATATGTGCATACCAGAGTTATCTCCAAATAATGTAGAATTTAGTTCCAAGTTCATAACAAGATTGTGAGCTAAGCAACTCAATGAGACCCTGTCTCTAAATAAAATAAAAAATAGGGCTGGAAATGTGGCTCAGTGGTCGAGTTTCCCTCAGTTCAATCCCCAGTCCCCGTCCCCCAAAAGAAAATTAAATTGCAGGCTAATGTATAATATACTTAAGTGTCTGAGAATAGTCTTGATATAATTGATTTRAACACATATGTAACAAAATGTTAATAAGACTTGCACTCAGGCAATACAGAACTGTGTTTATAAAGTCTTAGAAAATCAACAATTCTGTTTTATTAAGCATATATGAAGGATCCATATGGAAGATGTTTTTTCCATATTACTTTCTGTTCTACCATTGTTATTGTATATTCCTCCTCACACAATTATTAAATGTAAGAGATAAAAATGACTTATAATTATAGCTATTGTGTATTATGTTCTGACTTAGAAGTTATTTAATTACATATTTGTAATAGCCAAATGGTTCAAATTTTATATATTTTAAAATCAAATTGCCTTTTTTTTTTGTTTAGGTTTTTCAATGTTTGGATTTCAGAAGATCATAAAATTATAATGTATTTAGATAATGACATCTTTATACAGTATTTGGAATGACATTCCTATCAAATCTCTTGATTTTATAATTCTGTATTGCCTGTTGTGTATTTATTTAGTTTTTCTATATATGCATTAGTCAATGCAAGAGATAGTACCACATATCTTTTTAATAAACAGAAATAACTGTTTTAATAAAAACAGAAATAACTATTGTTATTTAGCCATAAAATACCCATCAATCACCATTTTTGTAAGTCATATGGTTCAGACTAATAATCATTTATCCAAGGAATAGGTTTTAGTAGGTAAGACTTCAAAATAAGATGTTTCCTTGAATTTCTGGAAATTACTTCAATACTATCAATGTGAATAATCCATCTTTTAAACCATACATGTTAGTCAGTTTTCCGTCACTACCACAAATACCTGAGAATAATCAACTTATGAAAATAAGTGGCTTATTTGGGTTCACAGTTTTTCAGGTTTCAGTCTAGATTTGGGTCCAAGGAGGCACCTCATGGCAGGATACATGGTGGAGCAAAACCACTTACCTCATGACCTAGAAGCAACAGAGAAAGAGAAAGAGACTAGAGTCCCACAACCCCCTTCAAGAGTCTTCCCCCAATGACCCCAAGACCTCCCATTAGGCCCCATCTCTTCAAGTTTCCACCGCTTCCCAGTAGGGCCACCCTGGGAACCAAATATCTAACACCTGGGCCTTCGGTTGACACTCAAGTTCCAGATCATAGAACCTATGTAAGCTTTTCCCATAGTTATACAATAATATTTCCTGCCTTTGTATGAAGATAAATGGAGAAGTATCTTAAGAAATGAAAATGAATAAARCTTATTTCTTATTTCAGTTTGAATTAAGAGGGAAAAAAAAGAGATGAATACTTACTTAACAACCACAGTAAATCTTGTAGTTGACATAGTCTTGGTCATTTAGGCTACTTATAAGCAAAGCCAGGACTTATCAGACACAATGCCAGGACTCCTGTTAGTATTGCTCTTGATTAGCAGGGTATGGCTAACACTGTAGACACATTCAATTAGGTCTAGTCACAAGAACCAATCTAGTAAAGAAGATATTTGATCATGAGCTGAAATGTGGATAGGTCAGCCAATCTAGTAAGAAGATATTTGATCATGAGCTGAAATATGGATTGATAAATATAACTAAGAGCTTCAGTTAAATTTTTAAAAATCTAGCCCACATTTATTCCAGAAATGATGCAGGAATGTTCAGAAATGAAGGTGAATGAATCTTTTATTCTGAAATATCTCATATGAGTATTTGGCTGGATTTTTCACAGAGTCAAAGAGTTATCAGTCTCATCTCCATTCTGATATGCAGGCCTAACAATTAATATAGGCAGGATTCCTTGGCATGCAAATTTTACTCAAGTGTGTTATGAAGCCAGGCTTTAAACATTTTCCTGTTGAGATTCTATAAACTTTTTTTCACTCTTTCAGACATTCTTCACAAAAACTTTTTATTGCTATAATTGTATCCATTAATTTTTAAAAAATTAGTTTCTTTATAAATGCTATTGTTTTTGTTAGGATGGACGTTTGAAGCCAGGAGATCAACTTGTCTCAGTAAACAAGGAATCTATGATTGGTGTATCATTTGAAGAAGCAAAAAGTATAATTACCAGAGCCAAGTTGAGGTAACGTTTCTATGCATAAGATAGAATGAGTCATTTAGCATGTCTCTTCAAAAATAGCAAAGATGTTTTAAGTATTTCAAATGCTTAAAGAAATATTTTAATAATATTTGAAACATTATCTTAGAGTTCAGTTGTACTATATCCATTACATATCTATAAAGTGATTTCTTTGTAATGCTAGGTCAGAATCTGCTTGGGAGATAGCATTCATAAGACAAAAATCTGATGGCAGTCATCCAGAAAATCTATCTTGCACATCCCTTTTACAAGCTTCAAGAGAAAATGGACCTCAGGCCTCAACATTTAGTCTTCTTTCTTCTCCCCCTGAAATACTAATTCCAAAGACCTCATCTACTCCAAAAACTCAAGCTGCCATTTTACCTTCTACTAAGATGAGTCAGGTAATCTTAAGTTTTTCCATTTATTAATCCATACATCCACTATATGTTTTTATCTTGGTTAAATAGATACAGAATTGTGATTTGGGCCATATAGTTTCTTAACAAATTAAATAACTTTTTAAAAGACTTTTTTCTTTTTTTTCCTATTTTAGATTTTATACTGTGTTATCAATAAATATGATTTTTCAAGCCAAGAATTCTATGTCCAGAAGCATAATCAATTAGAAAATATAAGCATGACAAAAATGGCACTATGGAGATATATCTAAATATCACTCAAAACTGTTAGGAAAGCAATATTTAGTTTGAGACACTTACTAATGAGGTTCAATTAATTATTTCTGTTTTCTGCTTGACAGAAGCCCGACAATGTTTTATTATTGTTTTTGTTGTTATTCCTTAGCTTCTTTTCTACCTAGTAAGGTTAATCCTAGTCATCCAATCTGTGTAGGTAATGCCCCTTACATGTGTATATTAGAAAATAGCTTGCTTTATTGGAATTATAAAAATGGGGAATTTATAATATCAAAATTAACAATAATTATTAACTATCRCATTACCTAGTTAATCAGTTATAAAATAGAGCATATACTATATATCTGTTTCAGCTATAAAGTCAAATAGGAAACTCAAAGAGGCTTTCAGTCAGTGAAATGAATTCCTTAAGGGTAACTTAAGTTTTAGGGATATGCTGATCAAAAACAGGCTCTTATTGTCATTTGAAGTTATAGTGTCTTAAAAGATAGGATGTATGGCTTTATATGTTCCTGTCCTTGGATGTGGTAAAGCTAAAGCAACTGTTAACCTTTAATTCTAAAATGTTTTATTTGAAGATAAATATTAGAGGTCTCATATTTTTCATAATATTACTTTAATCTCTTTAACCATTTTTTATGTTAACATAAACATCTAGTCTGATCTTTGACTTGCTTTAGAAAATGACATTGCATGTTTCTCATTTTCTTTCACAGATAAAAACTGAATACCAGAAAAYAGAATATGCTCCAATTACTCCAGTTACTTCTACAGAGAACAGCCCTACAGATATGTCTATTTCAGGTAAATACACACTTAATTCCTCTTTCCTGCTATTTTTTTTCAATTTCTTTCTCTCAGTGTAGAGTACATAATGTGGTTTAATAGACTTTAAAGAAGAGTACATTATGCCTTTTTTCTGTCAGTGAATAAAAGAATAAAATGTATGTATTGTCAGTGGTTCCTGTTAGATTCTGACTTTCATTGGAAATTGCCCTGAACAAAGGTTGAAATTTTAAGAGATGCTTTTTCATAAGTGTCTATGAAGCTGTAATAGTTAATAAATTGTAGAAACCAAATAATGAAAACTCTTCTATAAATCATATTAGGTTTCCTTGTCCTTTTAGTGATATACTGAAAGGTACATTAAATGCATCTTTCAAAAAACTCATCAGAAAAAGGAACACAGCTTAAGAAAATAATTTTTTTTAAGAAAGCATATGAATATAAATTAGAAGGGCCATTAGTGTTGTAAATTCAGCATTATTGGGTTTTAATTACCCTAAAATGATTTATGGACTTTTTAAAACAATAAAGCAATACTTGTCTAAATTATCCATAAAGAAAAGGATTTTTATCAAGCTACAAATCAAGTGCTTATTAGCCCAAGTATTAAGGGAAAAAAACTTTCCCTTGAAATTATCTCCAAAATCTAAAGGAAACAATAATTTAAAAACTGTACTTAATATGAACAAAAGCTAATTATATGTTGCTAAATTATAAAGCAGATTACCACCCATAGATTTTAATTTTTAACAGTGTTATTTACCTGAAACTTGCAAAGAGAGTTAGCTTCAATTAAATAGCTACCATACATGGGTTAGGGAGATAGCTCAGTGGAAGGGTTTGTATTTAGCATGCATAAAGTTCTGGGTTTAATCCCCAACACTGAAAAAAAAAAAAAAACAGAATTTATGCTAGATTTCATAGTAGTTTCCTTGGATTCAGATCAGTACTGACCAATGGGTTTGTAGCGATCTTTAGAAAAATTGTATTCCTTTTAATTTAGTGAGATTTATTGACTCCCAGAAACTTTGTTAGCAGTAATGCCCTTTACATAATTAATGTCCAGTCTACTATTATACTGTTTTTATTTTAAAGTGGGAAGAAAGAGATAGATGAATGAAGCAAAAACTAAGGAGATGTGGGATTGACATTGTTAGATGACAGAGGTCAAGGTCCTTTATTCCTTGATGCTATCATAAACACTAATTATGTAGCATTTATATCATGTCTTCAATATTTGAAGTAATTGAACTACTCGGTGCCTCTTTGAGCCATTTATTTATTCAGTATGCATTTACTAAATATACGTGTAGAAAACAGTACAGTTGGAATTTGAAAAAATTAAGATTCTTCTCTAAGATAATGGCATATTGTGAGATAAATCATGGGGTTAAAAATTCTTTGTTATTGAAATTAGAAAGTATTTAATTTCATTTATATATTTGTTAATATACATATGTTCTGATTTTATAACACCTTCACACAAATAATGTAAAGACATGAACAAAGTAAACTAAAGAAATAGTGAATGGCTTGAGTATGATATAGACTGTGATAATTGTGATTACTACCAGGTTCTGAACCTAGACTTAACACTTTTAAATCTTAACCCAGCGTATTAGCTCTGTAACCTTAAAATAGTTGCCTCTTGGGGTTGTTATGAGGATTAAAGATCATGAGTGTCTAGCACTTAACATTATAATTGGTACAGAAAATTTTGCCGTTATTGTTATTGTTGTTATGAATATTACAGAATCCTTACCTAATCTGTAGCTCAGATAACATTCCAGGGTATGTTTTTAGAGCAGACATGAGAGCTTCCAACATTTGATTCCATTTTGTGACTTCCTTTCAACCCCTGAAACTGGTTTATACTAAGGGATTTGTTACAATATGCAGAAATCAGTTAAGAAAAACACCTTAGCAATGCCAACATTATCCAAATATTGAAGGAAGTGGTACTCAGGCAAGAGATTATCCCAAGTTTGGAAAGTATCATGAGCACCGGGCATGGTGGTGCAGGTAGGTCTACAATCTCAGTGACTTAAGAAGCTAAGACAGGAGGATGGCAGGTTCAAGGCCAGTCTAAGCAACTTAGCAAGACCCTGTCTCAAAATAAAAAATAAAAAGGGCTGAGATGTAGCTCAGTGGTAGAGCCACCTCTGGGTTTAACCCCCAGTACCAAGTACCAAAAAAATGAAAGGAGAAAAAAGAGAGGCATAGAACTAGAATAAGCCAGATGTCAGGTGACCTTAACAGGTAGGTCTGATTAGAGCAAAGAGATCTTGTAATCATTAATAAAGTGAGAGAAATTTATACCATTGACTAAGAAATGATGCTAGGTTTTATAATAGGAAAATAATGGAAAAATATTTTAAGTATGTAAGTTTATATAAAGTATATATTAAAATGGAATTTTTTCTAGGGTTAAAAATAACAATAACTCAGCCTCATTTTCTTATTTCCACATAAATATAAGGAGGTAAGATACTTCTGGGCAGGGAGCAAGGCAAGGAGAAGCAAACTCAACTCTAAATTATTTCTAAGTATCTTAGTATATTATGATTTTTCTTTTACTTAATTGTAGATTCTTTCCAAATTAGATCCTTAGCCATCATTTCTATACTCTTTTAGTTGATAGTCACAAAAATAAATGTTTTAATGTTAACCTCAATAAAAATAAACTTAATAAGGGAGCTACACCTCTATCCCCATCTCAGTCATTCCAAGGTATAAAATTGATTAGAATTTTTAAAATCAGTATGATACTTGAATATTTTTAAAATCATTTATCCTATCATATCAATTTATTCAAAATTCAGAGTTGTTTACTATTGCCACAAGTTAACACTTAAGTTTGTGGGTCAGCTAAAAGTAAAGACATTGCTAAGGGAATAAGAAGTACTATCATCATTTTAACAATGGCACAAGCTTTAATTCCTCTTCATCAAGTCTTTTGAAATTACACAAAGTACTGATAGGGAAAATATCCTTTGAAGGTTCATGGAACTAATCAAATGGTATTGATCCTGCTCTCATACATCATTCCCTTTCTTCTGCTTCTAAAAAGAGGAATAGGAAAGAAGATCCAGGAGAATGATATGTTTTTGAAAAGCCCCCCCGCCCCCCCCCCCCAGAGAGGAGCAAATAAAGAGCTTGTTTAGATACAGAGATGTGATTGGCTAATGAGGAAAACAGTCTTTGAGGTACTTTTTGGGTCAAGCTATTCCGAATTGCCAAAACATGCACAAGATCCTCTTAATTAAGGTTCATCTCACAAGTAAAGGTTTAGAAAACAATGTTTTGTTAAGCCATGACTAAATATTGCTAAATGGGGTAAGGGGGGATTAGTATCATTTTATATTATCTCCTATTAACATTGTATCTCTGTGTTAATTTGGTTTTTGTAGTCGTTTTTACGATTTTGTTGATTTTTACCTTTAAAGCTCATATGRGATTATCAGTTTTATTCTTCCTACTATTCAGATGAGAAAACTGATATAAAAAAGGTTRACAAATAAGAACACTGGTTTCTGTGTGACAAGAGATTAGAATTGTAACATTGTTATTATGTACTAGCTGTGTGACCTGGAGCCAATTTCTTTACCTTTTGGGGCCTTAGTCTTTGGGATAAGAATAGTCAACACCTATGTTATGTTGATGTTGTGAAGATTAGTGAGCTTAAATATGTAATTGATTCACTCCCAGGTTAGAAATAAGCATAAAAATAATCTTTTGTTATTATGCTCAGATGTAGGGAAACGTGAGTGAGAAGCCTGTGTTGGTGTTGTGTGTATCCCTGTCTCTGCTTCTCTCCTCCTTTATTCCTCTTGCTCTCATCTGTTTCCCTTCCACACACTTACTCTTTTTTTTTTTTTTTTATTTGAAGTAATTCAAACTTACTTAGTCTTAGCGAGGCCCTAGGTTAGTTTGGGTCCACCTAGTGTTAGTGTGTCTTAATTGCAGGTCAAGTACCAAGCTGGAAGTCAAGTCCAAATCTAAAAGATGAAAAGTAAAGTTGACTTACCTGCTATTTTATCTTCCATAACATTTCACTCCCTAAAGATCTTTTATGCCATGCTGTAGGTTTGTTATAGAATTTCTCTTAAGAAAAAATAATATTTAATATTTATATCCTTCAGCCAAAAATTAGATGTTATGATAACAAAGAAGATTTTCTAGCTTTTATCAGGATTGTAAAATTCTGTTACACTAAAGTCAGTCTTTATAAGGTTTATTTCCATTTGGAGCTAAAAGTCAGTAACCATTTTTTTTTATAATCTTGACACCTATAAGCTATATTAAAGATTTTACATAGAATGTTGAGGATGTGTTAAAGGTTTAGAGGAAGACTATTTATTTTCATATGCACTTCTTATGTTCTTAAGAAAGAGAATGCAAATCATTTTGTACTTAGAGACAGATGCTCTGAGAAATTAAAAAAAAATTAAAACACTGCATAAAGATGTGACATTTTAAGAAGTTTTTTTTCTCTTCCTCTTGTTTCTATGTAGAACTAGTAAAATACCATTTAAAAGTGTATTTGGAATATAGTGACAATTTAGGTAATAAGGATTGACATAAATTTTTAAGAAATTTGATTTACAGACTTTGGCATATTAATACAAATAGATTTTCAAGTTCTAGCCTCTTATGGAACCTGATTTCTTATTCATGTGATAAGGACAAAGGCATAATTAAGGGACACGGACAAGGTTTATTGAAAAGGTACAAGAAAATAAGTGAGAAGTATATTACCCTCAGTTCTTAAAAGTCCAGTTATCTACTTAAAACATAACTTTTCTGTAAAATTAGACTTTTATTTTTAGCTCAAAAAGTTTTGTGTCTCTATCATATTTTATGTGATTTAATGCAAACTTGAAATGATCTGCATTCATGGGTTTTTCCAGAGTACTTCCATAATTCACATAACAAAACCATTTTGCCAATTTAAGATCATGATCTTTTTGAATTTTTAATATGATTTTTTTTTTTGAGAAAAAACTTTTAATATTACAATGATGGTCATAGTGTTGAGATGTATGTTTGTCTTTTAATATTTCCATGGGACTTCACAGTGCATAATTGGTACTCTTTTTATATCTTTGAGGGCTCAAGTAAAGCTGATTTATATGATACATTTTAAACTTACAGGGAAAAAAAATTATGAAAACAAAAGTGAAAACTGCCAACTGATTAACCAGAATTATTTTTGAACAGCAGGAGCCCAGAACACATCCTGTCAAATGAAAAGTTTTATTCCAATTAAGTTTCCAATTAATGTGCACCCTGTTGTCTCTTAGATATTGCTCCTGCCTGGACTGATAATTATGGACCACAGGAAAAGAAGATTTTCCTAAATCCCTCTATTCGCCTTAAGGCAGAGAAACTGGAAATGGTAAATCCCTTAAATTTTCATTTTGCTTTGGAGTACAACAGGAAAGAAGTATTCTCATTCCTTAGAGGATAAAGTACTGGAGCCATTTTTGCCTCAAGTTCTTTGCAATTTGAATGAAGGGCAGTTGGGGTTTAGATTATTTAATTAATGTTTGCTTTTGGCAATTCATGGTGATTTGCTAATACAAAATAGAAATAAAACCTTTGTAACTAAGTTGACATGCAGATAATAAGTTTCTTTTTCTTCTTCAATAAGAAAATATGATGCTTTGCAATCTAGAATCAGTGGGAACATAGAATTGAGACAAGGTATATTTGGCTTCATATATAATAGAAATAAATGCAATGACGTAGTACTTCATTGTTGTTGTTGTTGTTGTTGTCTTTGAAAGCAAAGAGTTGCTAAATTCTAAAGAACAAAATAGTCCTTAAATTTAAAAAGATTTTAACAGTGTAGTGAGGCACTAAAATATGGTCATGAGGAAGGCCGGGCATGTAGCAGGATGGTAGAAGTGCTTGCCTACCATGCTCTGCATTCTAAGATCAGCAACGCACAGAAAAAGGGTAAAACAAAAATAGTCCTGAGAAAAGTAGAGCATTGAGGACTATTGTTACCGTGTGATGGGTCCCTTACTTCTTACCTTCTCAAAAGAAAGATTTGTCAGGAGACATAGATAAAATGAGCATAAAGGGTTTAAACCTTTAGTGAAGTGAAAGTTCACCCTCAAGAATGTAGAGCAGGTCCCCATTAGTACCTAAGCAAAATCCATAGGGAGTGATCAAAACCAGAGTGTAAATGATATTACAGTGGATGCCATCACCCAAATAACAGTGCTTCCTGTTCTGTATGCCCCAAAGTGGAAAGTTCTGAAGCTGGTTACAGCCCAGTTTCTTAGTTTTGAAAGATTGTATCTGACCCTGAAGGAAGTGGTTTTCTGTCACACAGAGTAGAATGCTCCTTCCTCCATCAAGACGGAATGAATTCTATTCTTCCTCTCCCTATCCCTGTCTATCTACCTTCCTACTCTAACACTAACATATGTAAAAGAAATTTAGGATGATTATAAAAAGGGAAAACTAAAGGTGGGAAAGCACTTTAAAACTTATCTTAAGGTAACCAGCAACTGAGAAAGAAAATGTGCTACATCTTTTTTTTCTTCCCCCAAAGGCACAGAGGTTTATTTAGGAAAGTAGATACATATTGAAGAAAAGTTGTGTCAATATCAAGAGAGAGATACCTTCAGGGTAAAGCAAAGAATACACATTATTGAGGGCTCTCTTCAGGAGAGACAACCCCCCCCACCTTTTTTTTAATGTAAATTAGATATAAAGCTGAAGGTCCACAACCTCTACTTTCCTGTGAGTTGTGAATTTTTTCCCCACATTTTAGAAAGAAGATGAAATTGCAAAGCTAGAATGAATAAACATAGTATATATGTACTTACCCAACCTTTGCTCAGTCCTGTCTTTCTCATTGAAATCTGAAATTTGAACAGTCTAATTGTTCAAATGCTGACTCAATTTCTTTGTCATCCAAACTTTGCTAATTATGATAAATACTGTGCTACTTTGTGTATCTATAGCACTGACCATCAGTCAGTGTTTTATTGTACGATGAGCTTTTGTGTATTATGCTTTATCAGTGAGATCATGTATCTTTACCCATAGTACCTCCTTCTGTTTAAGTACCTGACTTTTGCTTCTAGGAGAGGAAAGATTTCTTTTCTCATCTATCACTAAGTTCATGGCTGGCAGAAGCACCTATAACAAAAAAGATTAACAAGAGAAATAGATACACATTTATTTAATATGAGTATGAATTTTACATGGCACAGAAGCCTTCAGCAATGAAGACCCAAAGAAATAATACAGTCTGTATAATTTTATGCTTATGTTTGGGATGAAGGTGAACAGTCATGGAAGAGTGTTGATTGGACAAAGGGGATACGGCTTAATACTAATAAACTAAGGGAACTTAGAAAGTCCTGTTTGTTCAGGGTTTTCATTATATCCCTGTATTTTAAGAAAAAGGGATGTATGTATCTAAATGACCACTAAATGCTTCAATAAAAGTTCAGTCTTAACAGTACTATGAGAAATATTTTTAAAAGCATATAGTAGATCTAAAATGTATACAATGGGAGGTTGTGATATAGTGAYAATTTTTAATCATAGATCATTATATATAATGAAACTTAAATTTGTGCAAAAAATACATGATTTATATAAGCATGTATTGGCATTATGTTCATAGTAAAAGCTTGACAAATTAGACACCAAGTTAATAGTGTTGCTTAAGCAGTAGTTCATAAGGATGGGAGTATGATATTTCTCCTCAGGGGACATTTGGCAATGTCTAGGAAGTTTTGATTGTCAATATTGGAAGACTGCCTCCAAATTAGTAATCAGTAACAAAAGATACATCTTAAAACTCTATGAAATTTTAAAACATATTTTAAATAATTTATGAGTCAAAAACACTGCTAATGAACATGAAAAAAATGTTTATTCTCACTTGTAATTAAGGGAATTCAAATTAACAACATAATATTTCATATCCAACATACTGACAAAAATGAAAGTGTAAAAACAGCAAATGCTGTTGAAATGTAAAAAACAGGAATGCTTATATACTATTAGTATGCATAAGTTGGCACAACCAATGTGAACAACAATTAAACAATACCTAATAAAGTGGTCACTGAATTATCCCTAAGACTTAGCACTTTCTCTTCTAAGCATATACTGTGAAGAAATTTTCACACATCTACAAAAGGAGGCATATATATTTTGTAATCAAAATAAAAATCAGAGTAACTAAAGAGTCCATCAATCAGGGAACTTTTGGATAATACACTATTACTTATAGATAATAAATTACTTATGAATAATAAATTATAATGTATCATACATGAAATACCATTTACAGTTAAAATAAGTAAACTAGTTTTACAGATAATATTGAGCAATTATAAAATCATAAGGTCAAGGTAAAATAAAACTAATTTGTAGAGTTAATACTTTTAGATTATACTATTTATGTAAGATTTTAAATGCATAAAATTAAAGTGCATATTACTTACGGGATACATACTTAATATGGTAAATGACATTAAAGTATGAACAGGAAGATACACCAACCTTAGGATAATGGTTGTTGCTTAAGAACAATAAAGAAATTTTCAATTAAATTAATTTTATTTCATATATTTATAAATTTCAAGCAAATACATGATATATTTGATGACATCCAGTACATGGAGTTTTTGTATTCTCTTTTTTTTTTTTTTTGAGGGATGGTTTTTGGAACATTTTTATAACTGAAGAGGAAAACACACAAAGCTAAGAATTATTATTCCATGTACACAAGGCAAATACTTAGGACTTCAACAGGGCAGACAGATGATGCTAAGAAACTTTTGGAAGAATCTTTCCTGATATTCTGCCTCCTGTTTCCTACTTTCATTGTGCCCAGTCAGATTGTGTACCTGGGGATTAACTAATTGCTTTTYGAAATAGCACACCCTGCACACTATGTTAAATTATGTATTGTAGTTACTGTATTTGTTCACATCTTATTCTCTCCCTCAAGACCATAGAGTCTTTGAGGGTAGTGACCATATATCATGTCTATYCCTTGTATTTAGTTTTGTACCTCACAAATAGTAAGTACCATATAAATATTTGGTGAATGAAATGAGGAATGAGTGAACATATTACAAAGGCAGAAGAAATTTGTAAGGAMTAATTACCAATATTAAACTACCTACCTTTTAGTTGTGATGTGATTGACAGTATATATTGTTTTTGCTAGAATCCTGTACATTGGATAAGATATATCTAATATCTAATATATATATTTATGATAAGGTATATGTACTATATATATTTATGATAATATATATATATATATATATATATACACACACACACACACATATATATATATATATACACACACACACATATAGAATCCAAAATAATAGTGGTTTTATTTCTCTCACACCAAGAAGCCTGAAAAAATGTAGGCCAGGGCTGATATGGAGGCTTTATGGTGCATGGGACCCACATTCAATTACCCTTCTATTTCACCATCTTTATTGAGGTACCTCATGAACCAAGGTAACTGCTCAAACTCCAGCAGTATTTCCTTCCTCCTATCTTCTTTCTTCTTTCTCTTTCCTACCCATTTCTTTTCTCCTCCCTGTCTTCCCTTCTTTCTTTCTCCTTTCTCTCTTCCTTTACCTTATTAAGCCAAAAGAGAGAAGGAAAAGGAACAAGAAGTGCTTAATTCTGCTTTGGAAAAGAGACTTTCTAGAAATGGTCTCCAGGACTTTGCCATATATTTCATTGGCTAGTTACCTTTATAGGCAGTTAATCCATAAATAGCATACTTTCCTTGGCCATTTGGTTTTGATCACTGTTCCTAATGTGGATTTTTTTCACTGGGTTGGAAAAATTGCAATGAAAAGTTTTATTCTTTGAAGATTTGAAATCTTGCTTTACATGAGGCCTTTTCCTTCCAGGCTCTAAATTATCTTGGTATCCAGCCCACAAAGGAACAACACCAAGTCCTGAAACAGCAAGTACAAGCAGACTCAAAGGGGACAGTGTCATTTGGAGGTAATATTAGGTTCATCATGTATATCACAGGAACTCAGTGAAGAGTTACTGTGACCCATTTTCAGCAAGCATGTCTGTTCTTTAGAAGGAGAGAATGAAAAGTAAAACCACATTGATTTAAAGATCCTTAGTCTCAGTACTCTAAAAATTCTAGTAGTTAATAGCAGAAAGGAGAACTTTATTAGAACCTTTCATCTCTAAAATATCATTATTCTATCATAGTCTTTTTAATTTTATATTTATTGCATAAAGATTGCTTTAATAATAACAAAAGAAGCAAAGACAATATATAGAAGTCCTGATTCACTACTGTGAGATTAGTTCTAGTTCCTCTTTTCAGCTAGAATGATATAAATATATTTATAGTGCCACATAATTATTTTTATTAGAGACAACATAATTTACCACTTAATTGACAAACTATAATATTAAGCCTTTCTACTGTTGGGAATTTTGATGGTTTGTAGTATCAGAAGCTAATAATATAAATCTGTATTTATTATTGTGAATGTATCCCCTTTCTTGGGATAAATCCTCACAAATGACTTTGATTTTCAGTGCATATTGGTAAGTTATTTTCCAAAGACATTTTACATATACTTGTTCTGCTATCAGTAATGTTTGAATGTTACAATTTTTTTTCCATCTCTGGTGGCATTAAATATTTCATGTTTTTCTTATATGGTGGATGCCCCATTGAATAATTTTAAAAACATCTATTATTACTAAAAAGAAAATCTGCCTTTTTGTTTTGAAGCCATAAAAAGGGTAATTTTGGTCTCATCTCCCCTTGAAAATCATGCCAAAGTAATAAGAACAAGAAACAGAAATGCATATATAACCAAAACCACAATATCTAAGGACAAAAGTGGATAAGGAAAGTACAGTAAATGAATTAGTGGGTAGAGGCCGGTAAAGCCCAAGTATTCAGAGATTAAACAAAATCACAATAGAGAACGTGTAGATTTGACCCTTGGGAATTAGAAGCATTTAGGCAGCACATTTGAAACAGGACTGTTAGAAATGTTCCTAAGAATTATAGGTGCTGTTTCTTGCCCCTTCTCAAGCAGGCTAGCAACTACCACTCCCTTACACCTCCAGGGAAAAAGAAGTTTATTTCCTTGAGAAATTAAAACAGAGATTATGGCCCTATAATTGCCAGCAGCAAAGAAATTTGGGGGAGTGTATGGTGAGTCATTACTCACAACACACACCCAGATTGCTCCATGGAATTTACAGCCGTGTTTATAACTGTAGGCAGGAGATTGTAGGATTCTGTCTGAAGAAGCTTAACAAAAATGTCAGCTGGCCACTCAATTGCCCTGTAGTTTAACCTGCCAATTGACTAGCCAAGTTATGCATAACAAAATTTCCAACTAACTTTTTAGTGCCTGATTCTTAAATATATTATTATAACTAATGGTTACCAGACATTTGGGGAAATCCTCCATCAGAAAATATAGTTCAAAGTATCAGACAAACAGGAAAAAAAGGAATTTGAAAGGAAGGAGAAATGATGAAGAGCCAAACAAGAATATCAGATAAACCATAATTAACATCTTTAAAAAAGACAAATGAAGATAATGCATCTATGAAATAGGAGTAAGAATTTGTAAATTAGGAATATTCAGAGAATATTTAAAAGAATCCTTAGAAATTAAGAAATATAATAGCCAAAATTAAAAATTTTGAGAATACATAGATAAATAGTTCACTCTTAGTGTCTAAGAAAGCTACAGACTGCTGCTATTTATTTTCTCAGTGTCCATGGGCAGGTTAAGACAGTTAACTTGTGTTTGCCCCAGTTTATTCATCTTTAAAGTGGAAAAGACAAGAGAACCTCCCTCCAAAGGTTGTTGTGAGGATAAAATTGCTAAGCACCATGCCTGGCATACAGCAGCTGTTACGTAAACAGTAGCTGCTGCTATTATTCTAAACTTCAGATTCTTCCAGCTAGAAAAGCCATAAGTCATAATATTGTCATATGTTTCAGGAAAAGTTCTACTTACAATAAAGAGTTGGAGAATTAAAGACATCTGTGATATGTTTGCTTTATTATTATCTTAACTGAATTATTAGCTTTAGCAAAGTTAACTAAAATGAGATAAAACCAGTTTCTTACTTATTTGAATTTACATTTACCCATCACTTGGCAAATACAATTTTAAGATAAATTATGCAAGTTAAATCTGAAGCACTAGTTCTAATACATAGTTACAACTTTATGTGGGAAAAGATGACATTTATTTACATGAGGTTAAATGCTATGTTCTTACTGAAATGTGTTCATTTCAGATTTTGTACAGGTTGCCAGAAATTTGTTTTGCTTGCAGTTGGATGAAGTAAATGTTGGTGCACATGAAATTTCCAACATATTAGATTCACAGGTAGAGTATGCCCTATAGAATTATCTTGCCCTATAGAATTATCTTGATTCAGTTTTAAGTCACAGTCTTATGTTACAGATCATATATGTAGGCCTTTTAAAATTTTTCACTAGCTTTTTAAAAAATTATACAAATAATACATGTTCTATCATAGCATGATAGCATACACCTATAATCCCAGTAACTTTTTGAACTCTGGCAAGTTCAAGGACAGCCTTAGCAACTTGGCAAGATCCCATCCCAAACTAAAAAACATAAAGGGCTGGTGACCTAGCTCAGTAGCAAAGTGTTCCTATGTTCAATACCAGGACTACACAAAAGAACAACTTCCTTGGAGATACACACACACACACACACACACACACACACACACACACACATAAAAACAGATTAATTTAAAACCAAAAGTAGGAGTTTTTTCAATCTCTTCCAGCCTCTTCTCTCCTTAGCTCCTCTACTCCCATATGTAAAGTCATGAGTATTGACAACTTGCCAATTGGAAAGCTAACTAAACAGATAAGTATCATGTGTCCATTCTAATTTGTTTAACACACCATAATATATACATGGAAGAGTGCCTCTATCATAAGTTTATATCCTTTGATATATTACAATCAGAACCAATCCCATGAAGCATAACATTAAATAAAGAAATACATTATCAGGACCCCGGTGCTCTCCTACACCCATGTTCCTTTCCTGTTACTAGCAATAATGCCCCCACTCCTAAAAATCAGAGTAACTACTCTTTATTTTTCTAACATCATACATTTGATTTTTACTGTTTTGTGCTTTATATAAAATTGATTTTTTAAATTTATTAACTTCATAAGTATAAACTTTGGCATTTATACTATCGGGGAGGGGAGGGGAGGGGGGATAGTAGAGGATAGGAAAGGCAGCAGAATACAACAGACACTAGTATGGCAATATGTAAATCAATGGAAGTGTAAGTGATGTGATTCTGCAATCTATATATGGGGTAAAAATGGGAGTTCATAACCCACTTGAATCAAAGTGTGAAATATGATATATCAAGAACTATGTAATGTTTTGAACAACCAACAATAAAAAAAAGAAAAAAAAATCTTTCAGTCCTTTTATGAATTTTTGATACTGTGTTATTTTAAAAACACCTTCCCAATTTATATTATATACAATTTATATATTTTAATTAATTCAAAAGTTATTTTTGTTTATGCATCTGAAGCCCTTGTCCGGTTCCATTGTCATTTATTTAACAACCCATCCTTCTGCACTTTGGCCATTGAATTGAAATGCAAACTTTATATTTGCTAAATTTATGTCTGGATAAGCAGATCTGTTTCTAGACCAACCACTCTGTTCCATTTCTGTTTGCTAGTTCATTAGTATTTTAATTACTGTGGCTCTATAATACCAGATTCATTATTATCTGGTATATTAGATAATTCTTAATTTTGATCTTCTAGATGATCTTTAGAATCATTTTGCTATGATAATAAAAACACATGGGACTTTTTTCGTTTTTGTTTGGAATTGTATTGAATTCAGGGGATGGTTTTGGAAGAATTGAAAATAACATTTCTTTACTCAGATCTTTGCTCATCTTTTAGAAAAAGAAAATTATAGCTTACTTCATTTATATTTTGAGTATTTCTTTTTGGATTAATTGCTAAGATATTATAACTTATGATGCTATTGGAAATGGGATATTTATTTTTCATTGTTATATTTTTAATTGATTAAGAAATATGATCATTTTAAGCTGCTTATTTTGTTTGATACCATTTTACCTGTCTCCCTTGTTCCAAGTGTTTTTCAGTTATTTTTCTTGGATTTTCTAGGTAGACATTTGATTACATTTTTGTCATTTCCACAGAATTGTACCTATTCTAAATACTATTGAATACAAGCAAGCAAAACTGAGTAAAAAATAATTTCTAAGATACTTCAATCATTTTACACATCTTAATTTTTTTTACCATTTCTATTTTTCTGGAAGAATCTTAACAATTRAAACTATTTCTTTAGAACTTGAAAATGTTTTATCTGCAAATTGTCTAGGCCTAGATTCTTTCAGGAGAGGAATGTACTTCCTACTTTTAATCAGTATTATATAAGGCTATTATTCTGTTCAATTGTTTTGTTCTTTTCTTGAATATTTTGTAAATGTGTGTCTTTCTAGAAAAGTTCTTCTTTTATCAAAATACTCAAATTTACCAAAGATTAATATAGATTTGCTTAGATCTTTAATTTTGTTTCAAAAATATACTATATAATTTTTACAAGTAATTCCACCAATACATTTTATAGATCATATATTAATCATCATTTGGTATGTAATATTTCCACTTCTTTGCCTTCTTTGATGCTTATCTTGATTCTTTTTTTGGCTTAATTTCTAAATAGTTTTTTCTTATGCAGTTTCTTTTTGGTTACTTATTTTTAGTTTAATTCTTCTAAAATTAGAGACATATTCTGTGTGATATTAATTCTTTGACTATACATGTAGTGATTATAGTCAATTAAATATTCCCAATCTGTTGAAAAGAAAGTATATTCTGCAGTTTGGAGTACAGTGCTTCCCCATGTCAATAAAGTCAAGGTTGTTTCATGGTTTCATATTTTCTGGGTTTTTTACTCATATTTCTCATTTTTTATTATCAGTTACTGAAAGAATTTTAAATTTCCCCCCACTTAGTCTTGTTTATTTTTGTTTTACATCATCATAGACTGTATTATTAGGTATATATAATTTTGAATTGTTATAGTCTTATCCCAGGTATTGAATCTCAATATCCTAAGATGTTTCTTTATTTTCCTATTTAGTTAAATGGAGCAGCTATACCATCTTTATTTTGGTTAGTGTTTTGTTCAGGTTTCCAATTATTATAATTATTTTTTCTTTATTAAAGAAAGCAGTTATATAAATCTTTTAAATATATCGAGTAAAATTTAAACACTATCATTTTTGCTACTCATAAACACTTGAAAGAAAATTTATGCATCAATTCTTTCTTCTGAGAAGTGTATCTTTTCTTTCCTTTTGTTAGCTCTTATTTCTATTCTATAGTCCTAGAATGTTCTATTGATGGACTCTGATTTTATGCTCGAAAGTCATTGATCATCCTATCATTTTGCTGCAAAAAATTTACATGATTAAAATGTTTTCATTGCTTCATAAGACTTTAATCTTTTCTTCTAGATTGAATTGTAGTTATACTTATTAATTGATCAAAACAATAGAAACATCACATAAATTTTTATCAGTTATTTTAAAAATTGTTTTAAAATTAAAATTCCTATTTTAATGTGATGTGTTATTTGCAATCCAGAGCCATCATTTATAAAATTYGCCTATTTACTTGAGCACTTCTGCATTCTTCTGCTCAGTTATTTATAGATTCAAAAGCTACAATATCTGATAAAGACTTGTTTTCAACCTTGTAGTTATTTGTCTTACTTACATATATATGTATGTATGAAGGTATGTTTAATCGAGAAGTTAAAATATATATTTATCATGTACAACATATTTCCAAAAAAATGTATATATGTGTGTGTGTATATACACACACACACACACACACACACACACACACACACATATATAAACACACACACACACACTATGAAATGGCTCCATTCAAGCTAATTAACCCCACATATTTAGTTTTTGTGGTGAAAATGGTGTTCTACTCTCTTAGAATTTCCAAAATATAATACATTGTTATTAAGTAGTCAGCACTTTCTACAAATATCACTTGAGTTTATTTTTCCTACCTAACTGAAATTTGTATCCCTCTACCAACATCTCTCTAACTGTGCCCCCATACAGTTACTCCTAAAATATAGCTTTGACTATTGTTGATCATGTCTATATAAGTTTCACAAACATTTTTCACTATTAAATTTATAGAGCATTTTGGGAAGAATCAACATCTTCCTTTATATGAACATGTTTTGGCTTTTCATTTATTTATGTCTTCTTTGATGTCATTTAATACATTTCACATATTCTAATATAGGCTTTATTGATATTTTATAGGCTAAATGAATCTAGTTAATCTTATTTTATACATTTTGTTGCCATTATAGTAAATGGTTTCTTTATAAAATTTAAGATGCATTTTTAATTCTTTGTTTTTGTATAAAAATACAACTGATTTCTATATATTCTTCTTATTATCTGGCAACCAGGAGGCCTTTCATTTTCCAGAAAAATCTCATTATTGCTTATATTTCTACATGATTATATTTATTTTCCTTCTTATTGTTTTCAAATGTGATTTTAAATGAATAATATGGTGAATCAGTTGCTAACTACCTGTAAATTTGAATGAGAGGATAAAATGTCACATATTTCTAAAAACTTTCTTTTAGTTCATGATTAAGAATTAAAATTACACTTTTACTTCATGGTTATTTTTAGAGCTCTATTCATATTAGTGCATATTCTATTACTATAGTGAAATACCTGAAGCCGGCTAATTAGAAAGCAAAGGGGTTTATTTAGCTCACAGTTCTAGAGTTCAAGTCCAGAGTCTAAAATTTGTTGTGGGGAAGGGTGACATTAATTCTACTTCTGGTCAGAACCTAACAGCAGAAATTCATCTGGAGGAATAGATCACATTTGGAAACAGTAAGTTAGAGATTGATGACCCACCTCTTAAAGGTCCATCACTTCAACACTACCATACTATGGACCAAATCCCTAAACATGAACCCTTGGGGACAAACCAAACCAAAACCAAATTATAGAACTGAGGTTTTTAAGTAATAACCTTGTTAACAGGAAGTTCAAATGCTATTTATTATTAATTACATGGTTCTGGAAATACAAAGTATAAATATATGATTGGCTTAGTAGATAAAATAAAGCTGATTCTCTCAATAAGAAAATAATGTATGTTAGTAATTTTAAAGTTGAAAATTACTTTGTTTTATTTAGTAATCCCTCCCCCTTTTTTTTTTTTACTTCTAAGCATTTGCCCATCTGAACACTTAGTTTTTCAGTA